TAGGTGAACTCACTATTACGCCATTTTTCCTGTTTTCTGTAAGAACTTTAAAAATTCCTAAAATAAGAGAGGTCGTAGATCGTAAACTTTTACTATCTGGAAAGTCTACGATCTGAGATGGGAGGGGAGTTAGAGCCGGCTCTTTATTTAGTAGTGAAATATTTGTTAAAAATATTCCATTTTTTTCATTCATTCATTTATTTGCTTTTTGTTTTTATTATTTTATTTTATTTCTTTATTATATTTTTTGCTTAATTTAGAGGCTTTGACATGATATTTTTGAACATCAAAATTCCTTACATCAATATTATTGTTATCCATTTTTTACGTGTCCTTCATGATTTCCTGTCAAATGTATCTTCACCCTCTCTTTAGAAACTAATAAGAAGATACTTTAGCCTTGACTTTCTAATTTCTTGTAGATTAGCGATAATAATCTTCGTTTATAGCGCTACAGCCCTGAGTGGGTCTTAGCTTGGTGCAAAACTTTCTGTTCTTAACTTTGTTTTTCGGTAGAAAATTTTCATTATGGTTAGGTCTTTTGTTACATCATTTAGCCATCTCTTGTGTCCTAAGATCATCACCTGAGCATTGCCAAGGGCCTAGCCCCAGTTTTAGGGCTCTATCTCTTAACGGTCCTGATGGATCCTGTTCATTTTGATCCTGATCAGAAAACGTAGACAGCGTCTGAACTGGTACTCCTCTCTCCTAACTTCCTCTCTACAGCTAACGGTAAGACTTTCAGCCACGACAGATTTAACATGCATCTTGCTGCGTATGCACGTTGGTTGTTTTTTGAGCTACCAATTTCGAACTCATGTCCCCCAAAAAGTCGAATTTTTTTTTTAATGGTCCAGATCGCTATTGTTTCTAAACCTACTTTGTGAATAGTTTAATTTATTTAAACCAAAAATTCGTCTTAAAGTTTTTTCTTTCAAATGTCAATTAATTTATTTCGTTTGAGATTTTCTAAAAGTTATCAAAGGCCTGATACCAGTATAACCCTATGTTTACGGTGCTTTATGAAGCCTGTGATTTTGGTTCACCTGTTGTACCACCCAAGCAAAACGTTAAAATTTTTAAGTAAGTATTGTTATAAGTACTGGCTGTTATTTCCTTTTCGTATGATCGCATTAATTTTGCTTCGAAATATTACTATCGTTGATTGAGTGGCAGTATTAATCTAGCAATATCTTGTTCAAAAAATTTTCTAATGACAGTACTTAAGTTTTTCCATTGATCTTTACCTCCCCCAAAGTTTGCAGGATTGCTTCTCCATTGCCTAATTTGTGGTAATCCTGCCACAATATCTTTGCATTTTGAAAAAAAATTTGATTCTTCTAGGTTTACTTTGAACGTTTACCTGTAACCACTTTTTCAATGCTTTTAATTGTTTATATTGGCGAAAGAGAATTTACCACGAAGGATTTCTTCCGTGGTATAGCGTCCTTTTAAAATTTTCTTCTTATGATTCTAAATTCTACGTTCAATCCATCTCTGATTTAATGAATAAAATGGGATACCACAGACCAAAAAACTTATTTACCGTACTTATAAAAATACCTATGATCAGAAACGAAGATGCTTCTAATTTAATGTCAAGGTTCGTATTAATTTATTTCTCTTTAGTCCTTTAAGAATACACTTTAATGTTCATTTAAATCCGTAAAGTAAAAAGAATCTTTTCAAAGGAAGTGATGAAGTCTGACGAAAATTAATAACTGTTATTTTTTGCGCGGCCAAAGAAAAGGGCCAACGCACCGTTCTTGTTTAAAACCAGTTGTTTGGCGGGTTTAGTAGAATAATAATAATTACCTTTTGTTAATCATGCCCTTTTGGTGTGGTACTTGGGGGATCTCCAACACCCACTTTTCAATTTTGTCCCCACCTCTCCTCCCCCTTTCCTTAAGAGTCAAGAGAAGAAGGAAAAGAATTTGTTTAAAACTAGCTAGTTTCATAGCAGAATCTAGTTAGCTAACTAATAGTTAGGGTCCAGTAAAAATTGTTTTATCCTGTTGTTCGTAAACGAGTAAACAGATCCATGCTGTGAGTTGGTTTCGTTGAAAGATCTTTTCTTGTTATGGGATTATATATTTTTACAATAATAGAATTCAAATTTCCTTTATCGCACAATACCAAAACTTAATTTATTTTTAAAGATAATGTTTTTTTTATTAAATTGTATTTTATGATATATATGTTTAAATTATGTTTTTGTGCTTGGGGTTAAAGGTTTTTTTTTTTTTTTGGTTTGATTTTTAAAATGTGTTTTTAAAGTGCGTAAAAAATTATCGTCTAAAGTGCAGTTTGGCATTAGGGGAAAAATAGATGCAGAGCTAAATTTTTCAAATTTTTGATGGAAAATCCTTTTTTTTTCTTTTTTTAAAATTAAAATGGGAATTTATTTGGTGTATTTTTAGCATTTATTTGGCGCAAAAAATTTTATTATTTCAGAATGATTCTAGCAAAACTTTAAATAATGTAGTTAATGATGTACCGAAAAAAAATTATTATGAGATATAAATACCCATTTTTGAACAAAATTTTTGCTGTAATTCAAATTTTAAGACTTTTTTTTATTACAATTCTAACGTAATTAGCACATTTTAAATTAATTTTAAAAGAATTGTACCTGAAACTTACCTTTTATTATCCCGATAAACTCCACATTTCGATTAGCAGGAAGGTTCAAGAAGGATTGCCTCGATTTTTGATATAGCTTCATAAAGTGATTATTTCTATACATGTTATGAACAACTAAATTGTTGTAAAAAGAAAAGATACCAAAACCAGTCCATTTAAGAAAATAAAAAAACAAGCTAAAGAATTTAAATTTAAATTGAAATGAAAGCTGGCAAGAAAACTATGCATTTTTTAGAACCCCTTTCTCTTTCCTTTAAAAAACAACTAAAAGATTTATAGAACTTCCAATTAAAAAAATCGCTATAATCACTATCGTATAATAAATTCTAATTCATTCTAATGGGATCCCAAAAATTTTGTAAAACAGGCAAATAATCTATGTTCTAAGTTTTGAGGTGGTAAAAAGAACCGGTACGAAAAAGCATCGCATTAGTAAATATATGATTTTACTACCGATTCAATTAGAACCGTTGAGCCGGAACTTAATGAAATTAAATATCTATTCGATTCAAAATAGATTATATTATATTTTAATGAAATTAACTGATTTATGAAAATATTAGTTTAAAATATACGTTGTGTTAAGTTGCTAATTTCTTTTCTTGATTATTTAAATTTGTTCGAGATTGTTTTATCTAATTAATCAACTATTTTCGTCCAGTTTATTTTACTTACTACACTCTTGGAAATAAAAATTTCCCTTTTGACGATTCAACAATCCTTGAGCTATATTTCGTTGATTTTTAGTATAATTTCGTCAAGAAATCACGTAATTTGTGACGAAAAGCGAACTCTCAAATCTACGACAAAAATATTCCCTCATCTTGAAACCTCAGTGTTGTGCGTTTATGGGAGATTGTTAACTAGAATGACGAAACTTAAATTGACACTAGACAATCGAAGTAACCCGACTGGGCTGTATGTTGGTCAAGAGTAGTTGGTCAGGAAGACAGGAAGATCCCGGAATCGAATCCTGCTTCATGCATAGGTTAAATTACGAATGCATAGGTTAAATTACGAAATATTTTTTTTTAAATTTTGACGAAATTCGTCTCCTTGAAGTAGTGACAATTTATTTTGTCACTTTGACGGAAAATTCGCTCGGAGCATATACCAGGAAACAGTTTCGTCAAAAACATGATTTTTTTGAGTATCCATTTTTTTCCCAGTTTAATAGTAATGATAGTTAACATGGATTAATTTTATTCTCTTCAGAAATATAATTTAATTTAACAAATATTATTATTATGATCATTTACAATAATTCCGTTATTGAACAATAATATGTAATTAGTATTATTAAAAAATTGTTTTTTATTGATGAAATAAAATTCTTAACAGTGTTCTTGACATCTTTTCTTCATTAAATTTTGCATTATTTTCCCATTAATTAGTTTTGCTCTTAAAAATATTTAATTTATTCATTAGCAAAAAACGTAATATTTGATCAAAGATATGAAAAAATAAAGTGTTGGATATATGTTAAGTTCTTTTCCCTCTAAATAAGCGTTGTGTTAAATTTTCAGCATCATAAAATGAATTGCTATACAGTTATAAAAAATGCTTGTTTGAATATTGATTTTGCTAGTACTATCTTTTAGCACTAGCAGACTTTGCTATTGATTTTTAAAAATGAAATCATGCCCTGTTTATGACGAAGTGATTGAAGTGCTGAACTGTCTAACATGAGAATTTAATTTCTGAGAGTTTCAATAAATATTGAAGTCACTGCACTATAGATTCGCTGTTACGCTTTATTCAACGACCTAACAACGTTTCTAAAACAGAACATTAAGAGTTGTTCGCAATTTTTTCGAAAAATTTGTTTGCAGCAACGAATGTAAACATACATTATGATCTCACTTAAACTGGGAAGAGAACAAAAAAAAATTGAATTGTTAACATCAATATTCCACCTTCCTTCCAAAAACATTTACAGTCAAAGGACTGATTTTAAACAAACATTTTCTTGATCTTTTTTCAAATCATCATTCAGCCATTACATGTATAATTCTACGCTGCCTTTTTGTAAACAACCCTTTTGGCCTTACTAACTAGTCTTCTGGTCCGAATATATTTTGATGATTGTTCCGTACCTCTTTCGCAAAAGGAAAAAGCAGGTAGAAAATGTAAATAACCAAATAATGATGATAATAGTAATAAAATTCTCTGACTTCGGTGTACTTCGAGAAATGGCTGATTATACCATGTGTACCAACTTTAACTTTTTTCCTTGCTTTTTTTAATTTTTTTTTTTTTTTTTTTTTTTTTGTTTTNTTTTTTGACAGAATACTATTTTTTGCTGACGTAGAATTTATCCCTTGACGGCTAAAGCATATTTTATTTTTATGTTGCAGGGCCACTATGAAGACATGTCTGTGGGAAATATGGAAAGGCTAGGGGTAAGTAGTTCATCATTATGAATATTTTGAAAAGAGATGAAAACTCTTTTTTTTTTTCTCCTTTAATTATTTTTCTTTTTAGAGATTAAGTTGCAGAGGTGGCCAGCCTTTTTCGAAAGAGCCACATCTGGAAAAATATATGATTATGTGAGCTACTTCTAAGTTTTCCATAATATAAAGGGGGAAAAACGTTCATATGCTAATTATGGGATATAAGGCAAATGGCTTATTTTTACAGATTTAAAAAATAATGTAATAGAAAAAGTACGTAACTAGATTTTACTGTTAATAAGCATTTTAAAAATTGTCGGTTAGATTATGCATGAAACAAAGATAGAAACGTTTTCCTAAAATACTAATTTTTTTTTTTTTTTTTAAAAAAAAGTTGTTATATGGTTGATGATTATATGGTTGAATGATTGTTATGAATTCTTAGAATTTTGTGCATTTGCAATGTACCTAAGTTAGTAGCGAGCGAAACGAGCTTGGTTTGCGAAGCAAACCATATAAGTTTGCGTAGCAATTTTCGGGGGTTGGCGAGCGTTAGCGAGCAGGGGGCGCAGCCCACTAGTNTATGTTGCAGGGCCACTATGAAGACATGTCTGTGGGAAATATGGAAAGGCTAGGGGTAAGTAGTTCATCATTATGAATATTTTGAAAAGAGATGAAAACTCTTTTTTTTTCTCCTTTAATTATTTTTCTTTTTAGAGATTAAGTTTATTTAAAGCAGAGGTGGCCAGCCTTTTTCGAAAGAGCCACATCTGGAGAAAAAAAATATGATTATGTGAGCTACTTCCAAGTTTTCCATAATATAAAGGGGGAAAAAACGTTCATATGCTAATAATGGGATGTAAGGCAAATAAATAACTTATCTTTACAGATTTAAAAAATAATGTAATAGAAAAAGTTCGTAACTAGATTTTACTGTTAATAAGCATCTTAAAAATTGTCAGTTAGATTATGCATGAAACAAAAATGAATATCTTTTAATTCTTAATAATTATTAAACAATTATCTATAGATATATTTCTCTTACACAGCGACAAAAAAAGCCTCATTACAACTCCCCGAATGGCAACGCTAGAAAATCGACTAATGATTGCCGCTAAAAATGTCACATGTCAAATCTAGCTGAGGTGGCTCAACATATAGCGCTTTTAAAGGAAAAAAAATTATTCGGCAATCTCATACTATTAAGCTAGGCAGAAGTGAGTAGTCTTATTCGATAGATCTCTATTTTAGTATTTTGTCGAAAGCGCTTTTTTTCACGAATTTATATATTACGAATTTATTTGACGATTTTTGATTTATATCACGAATTTATTTGTTATTAGTTATACACTGAAAAATGAGTCTCAGTCGTGCTGTTACGCTTTAAGATTTTATACTATGACACATTTCTAATAGGTTTAACGAATTACGTGTCATTTATTTGAATTCAAATTTATTTTAATGACTTAATGTTTACTAAAAAAATGTAATTTTAAAAAAAAAAAAGTTTTTATATGGATTTGAATGATTGTTTTGAATTCTTAGAATTTTGTGCATTTGCAATGTACCTAAGTTAGTAGCGAGACAAGCGAGCTTGGTTTGCGAAGCAAACCATATAAGATTGCGTAGCAGTTTTCGGGGGTTGGCGAGCGTTAGCGAGAAGGGGGTGCAGCCCACTAGTACTTAATATTGCTTGAGGATTTGAACTCATACGAAAAAACGAGCAAAGTGTCATTAACGGATTACTTTTATGAATTTTTTAATGAAAAGTTAGATTTAGAAAGAAATCCTTCAAGAACTGTAGTCAAATCTTGATGTTACGAACTCGAAAGGTGACAATATAATGTAATATAAAAACTTTGGGTTATCAAAAATCAAATATTTTTTGGAAATTAAGTCGAAATAAAGTTCCGTTTCGTTATTTTTCTTTCTTGATGAAGTAGTCACTTTTAAAATTTCAGATTTTTCCCAATCACCACAAACTGATAACTTCAATAACTATACTTCAATAATTATACTTCCTCCTAATTATCTCTTTCTCTTGCATTCATTAAATTGGTAAGTTCTTACCTTTTTTATGAGCAAACTTATCTGTGCACACATCTTACATGTCTGCTTCTTTAGAAATGGTCATGCAGGCAATTTCTTTTCAAGCTTGGTAATCTGTTTCTAATATTAAAAAATAATTGGCTAGCAAAAGCATAAATAAAAGTGAAAATATTAAAAAAATAACGGGCTAGCAAAAGCATGAATAAAATAAAATAAACACATAAAGAGATAAATAAAAAAAAAGCAAGCGATAAAATTAGAATAACAATTTTTAGAACAACAGAGTTTTTAACAGGTTTTTAAGAGTGTAAAATTGTTCAAGAAAAATTCTTAAGAATTAGAATTCTAATAAAAAGTTCCAATTCTGTAAATTACTGCAATTTTCTTTTCTTTTTTGCTAGTCAGAAATATCTTTTTGAAATATAAGATCATCGACAAATATATGTGGCTAAACAAGGCTTTTTCTTTCCACTGGCCACATAACAAACGGGTAGAGAATTCTGATTTTTTTTCCAGAGGTTTCAATTACAAAATTGCTTAAAATTGTTTCATCTACAATTTGCACATCTTATTCAAGAGTTGCTTCTTATCGAATCATACTTTTGAGTGTAGCCTTAAAATAACCTGGTTTGGAAATTTTCAGTAATACTCCAAATAACAAAAAAAGTAGCGAAGGAAATACAATCAAGGAATCGCTGTGAACAAAACGTAGCTAAACAATCCCTGGTTTGCTGTAATGCTAAGATTTTTCTATTAGTTCATGCATAAATTATTTTAGTTAAATAATTAGTTTAACATTAAAAAAATAATAAATGAATTTTGCAAAAATTTTCTATGCTTGATTGTTTGAATTTCAAAACATGTTAACAAATAATCTAAATCTGAATTAAAATATTGTATACACGTTTTGGGGCTTTGGAATGGTGAGAATGAGCTTTCGACAGTAGTCAAAAGCGTCTTCATTTTAATAGCATAGTTGAGGCTGCTGTCAACTACAATAGCATAAAGAATATATTGCCCGTGGGAATATTGGACATTTAAAGTGTTAAATATTGTATTCTTTGCTTTAAAGTGTTAAATATTGTATTCATTGATTGATTCTGTAGTAATGTATTTATTTAATGAAATTAAGCAAACTAGGCGAACTCAGGATTTTGACCTGAAGTAATGTGTTATGTTCAGATCCCTTATAGACCGTAAATTATTATTGCAGAGACCACCTTCACAATCCCTGAATTATGGTTCCGTAGGCGATGATGTTCGGTCCCCCACGGGTTCAACTGGCACTCCATGTCCTCTGTCACAACAGCCTTCTTCCCAACAAAGTACAGACAATAACAGTGAAGCTGGTAAGCATTTCAATTTCTTTTTTTGTTTACTTATTACGGCGTTTGACGTGTTTTTATATCTGGGAAATGAATAATTAATGGACCACTTTCCGAATAGCTAGAGCTGGTCAGAAGCGACTGGAACTCCGTGCATGATGACAATTGACAATGTAGGTTTCAATTGTTCTCTATGTGGCCGAGCGGTTAGCGTGCCTGAATGCGAAGCCAATAGCCGTGGGTTCGAATCCCGCTCTTGGCATGGATGTTTCTCTCTATGTGTTGTCATATGTTGTGTGTGAATGTGGCCTACCCTTTGAATGGGTATTTGTGGTAGTGTGGCGTGGGTAATGTTGCTCGACTTCGTGACTTACGTTCACAGGTGCCCACTGGGTAACGTTCAATGAGCAACACTTCCGGCATCTTCCAAGGTGAAGTACGAAAGTTCAGTACCTGCCTTTACGTATTTAAGATTTGCCTATTTGTAGTTTAAGATTCAACTTCAAAAATGAATAATTTTGATTTACTCTATTCTGCATAGTTTCAGCATAATAAAAACAAAAGATAACGCTCACTGCGCAATAACAAATTTTCACATAGTAGAACAAGATCGGGGTTACTTTCCTGATATGAATCATTTCGTCAAAGGTTCAACTTTCAAAACAATTATTGAAAGAAATATTTTACACGTCGAGATAAATTTATTACTGCATTTTTACAACATGTTATTAATTGGTTTATTAAAGTCTGAAACATACAATTATCGAAGAAATTGGTTCAATCTCAAAAGTTTCTTTTTACCTGAGCCCTAAATAGAGACGAATATAATCGTCAAAAATGACTCGTATTTAATATCAGACGGAGGGAGGGGAGGGTTGAGAAGAATTTGAGTGGTCGTAATGAGAAGCTTTCAACACCATTGAGTTACATCCGTTCGAGCANATTAAATTAATTTATATCATATCTCAAAAGTTTCTTTTTACCTGAGCCCTAAATAGAGACGAATATAATCGTCAAAAATGACTCGTATTTAATATCAGACGGAGGGAGGGTAGGGTTGAGAAGAATTTGAGTGGTCGTAATGAGAAGCTTTCAACACCATTGAGTTACATCCGTTCGAGCATAAAGCTGGCCTTGGTTTTTCAAGAGCCCTTCTCCACTTGAAGAATTCTTTTTCTTCTTTTAATCCGACTTCTATTTACATCCTAGTTTATAAGTATTGATACAATTCATTATTTTATTCCTCCCTTTCGGGAACTAGTTTTGTCACTTTTTTTTTTTACTTTTTTTCGGTGGTTAAATAAGAACTGCGTTATTTATATATCCTGGAGTTTTTGTTGTTGTATTTAACTCTTATTATACAGCTAATCACGTTTTTTTTTCTTTCTTCCTACATAAAAAGGTTGCTCGTTCATTATCATTATCTTTTTGTAGGGCCATTTTTTTTTAGAAATGTTACGTTAAAATATTTTTGGGATTGAGGTTGATTTAAAAGAAGAAATTCAATTAGCTTAAATATAAATTGATTTTAAGTACTTTTCCGTGGGCAGGTGGATGGAATTTTCAAAATTTCACCTACACTAAGGAAGTGGCCATAAATTTAAGCTTCTGAATGACCGCGTTTATAAAATTCTGCGTTTATAATTTCAAATAAACTCGACGAGAAACTACGAAGTGAAGGCACGCATAACGCACAAGAGAAAATAGTTCTCGCCAGACCAGAGTTGGTTTGTCTTCCTGACTCCACTCTAACCTTTACTGTTCCATACATTTATGTAAAAAAAAAAGCCCTACATTTTAAATTTTTTTTGTATTGTCTAAAGTTAGCAGCAGGTGGCAGCACAAAGCATTAAGGGTAAAAAAATAGCTTCTCTTCGACATTTAAAAATTAATGTTAAATGTGGAAAGATGGGAGTATCATAAAATTTTTTGAATTTTACCACATTATAAATGGTTTTACTCTTGTTTCCATAGCAGCAGACATTCACAGTCGTATCATAGCTGAACAGTACCCATGAACAAGGCAAGAAAAACGTTGAATGGAATGGAACACTGTGAGAGATTTTCAATTTTAAGGGGAAAAAATACACTCACACTGGAAAATGAATTTCAGGAGAACCGTAAATTACTTATTAATAATAAAGCAAAACGGCTAAATCTTATTCAGATGAGTCAACTTTTACAAGAACATTTATAAATAACGTTCATGTTCTGCACTTATTAGGTACAGAAGACTCAATAGTTCGATTTTAGTAGTTATTCTAATAACTCCTAATCATTTTCCCCTTTTCCGGTGAAATTTTATTTTTGTTCTTTAACCCTTTGACGCAGATGGGACACCGCTGTCCCTTTTGTGTATTTTTTCTGATGCTCTAAAGCTCTAAGTACAAGCAAAATATATTTCGGTATCTTTTTAATCATAAGAAAACAGTCTAATATTTACTAAAAAAATCTGTTTAAGTGTTGAAATTATATTTACTCTAAAATATAAAATTTAAAAAAAGAAGAAAAAAATCGGTTGATTTTTTTTTCTTTAATTATCAATAATTGATTTTGTGAAGTAAAGAAATTTCAATGATGAATAACTGTTTTTTTTAGATCTAAATAATTGCAAATAGCTACAAATTCGTAAAATAATTGTTTGGAAGATTTCTAAGGCAGAAAAAGTCTCCGGTGTTTCAGGCTGTATTTCCTAACCATAAATTATTGCTAAAATAACATTTTTCACTTTTTTTGGTCCTAAATTAATACAAAAAAATGTAAAAAGCATGCAAAATATGTTACAAAAATTTTGTGTCAAATAGTTAATCCTGATTCAATGTAAACTCCACAGTTGAAAATGTTTCGTTTAATTCATTACCATGCAAAATGTAACTACATTTTTCTTCCAGTTCCCGAACATTAAAAGTCTTTAACACTATCAGTGTAGAAATACTTATTAATTACTCGTAAAAATTTTTTTTTAAATGATTTAAATATTGTATACAATCTCTTAACCCATTCTGATAAAAGAGTATGGGATGCGTGCCACGATTGAGTATTTGAAATTTCGTTTTTGTAAAAAAATAAGTAGAAAATAAATATAAATAATATTAGTTTTTTTGAACTTTCACTGCAGTTTTTCTCCTTTATTTACTCACTTTTAATTTTGAACTTCAGAATCACTACCCTATTTATCTTTCTTTGCTTTCTATATATAACCTTCATAAATATAAATTTAACTTTAATTTATGTAGCCAAAATCAAAATCCAGTAGGTCTAAAACAGTATTACGTAGCGTTTTTAAAAAGTGATTAAAGGTGCTTATTTTGTTCGGGATTTGTAAAGAGTGCTTAATTTTCTAACTTTTAAAAAGAGATTTTTTCTTTGCCGTGTCGATTGTTGTTCTAAATTACAAAAAAATGCATGATTTTCACAATTTTCTCTGCAGTACTTATCAGAAACTAGTTATTATTTTAGCTTGATTATGTGAAGTTTGTGAAAATGTTTTTGAATTTTATTGATTTTATGATCAATAAATTAAGAACTTTAAGCGATAGAAGAAAAAAAAATTATTACTGCACAGATCTTAATTATGATTTTTCTTTTTGGAAATTGATTCAAAATATTTTTGAAGTGCTTAAAAGTTGCTTATTTTTCGTTGAAAAATCTGGCTACGCACTCTGTACAAAGATAACTTTTTCATCGTACTCTAGTCAAATTCTTTCTCCTCTTTCTCTTTTTGGCGATAACATGGCGCGATAGATAAACAGGTCATGAATCCAAACCATTCCCTCCTTTCCTCCTATCATTGGGATAAGTAATATAAATGACTCTCAAACACCCTTCTGTCAGATGAGTGCAAAATTATCGTCTAGTTGGGGGGAGAAATCCCTCCCTCCTTTTAGCCGAAACTTAAATAAAAATAACAATAAAAAAAAGGGAAGAAAGAAACAGGGTATGCTTCCCCGCATCAGTTAGTTAATGCTGAGCTATCTTTTTGCTCTTTTCTATGGTCGTCTGCTGTTGGTGTATGTTTGGAAGGAGGCTTTGTAGGGGCCATGAAAGATTGATAGTATCATAACAGGGAGATCCAGGGTAGAGAATCTAGGGGTCTTCCACTATCGTTTGTCTAGGTTGGAGGATTTGAAACTGATCCTCAAAAGTCTTATCCCGCATTCCGTTTTCCGTATGTTTTATTATACTGTGCTGTTGTTGCAGATGGGATGGGAGTAAAAAAAAAATCGGTTTGACTGCGCGAATGTTAACAACCACTGCACCGTAGTAAACAGCCAGAGATTCCAGAACTTTTTTTTTTCTTTGCTAATGAAATACGTGATTTTGTTTTGAAGCCTGTGTTGGAATTTTTTTGAAAGCATTTTTGAAATTTCATTTCGGTCTAGGATCTAAGCGCGGTGCTGGGCGAAGCAAAATATAACCGAGTTTTCAAATTTCTTGCAACGAAACTCGCTGGAAATTCGTAAGAGAAAACGATAGAACTCGCAATTATGAACGTATAATCTTACAACGTGTGCTGTTATACTATGAAGCGTTTACATTTTTCATATTACAATATGAAAAACGCAATTATATATTATATTATAAATTTATTTATAAATTAAATTAATTTATATCATAAATCGAATTATATTGTAATAATATTAAAATTTAAAAAAAAAGTTAAGCAATTTATTATTTAATTTTACAAATCTAATTGCGTATTTATTTCATTTTAAAATGTAATCAAATTTAATGAAACTATGAACAGAAGTTTGGTCCTAGCCAGCTTAAAATTTATTTCTAAGACTTCTTTGCCTCCACCTTAAATTCTGGAATTTAATAACTGCTTGTGGGTGGAGGGGGAGAGTCGCGATTGTTTAGAGGATAGAGAGTTCGCCTCCCAAAGAGATGAGCCAGGTTCGAATCCCAGCGGTGGCTGGTCGAGACGAAATCTACACCCGGCTCGCCTGACCACAGTGCTGACATAAAACATTCTCAGCGGTAGACGAATCATGGGTTAAAATCCCCTTGCCGTCAGGCTGACC